TTGCAGCTGAGGATGGTGGTTCGGTAAAACCATCGAAACTAGTCCTGTGAAAATTTTGTAAAGATAACGCTGATTTTTGTTGTTTGACTTCTGAATTATTCTAAAGTGTTTGAACTGTAGTGCTGAAGCAGGGTTCGTACGGTCCTTAAATGTCCTTAATTTTTTTGGAATCGATTTTTGGTCCTTAAAAGTCTTTAATTTCGACCAAATTCGGCAGGAGGTCCTTAATTTTAATCATCTGTAATTTCTGTCTGTTTTTATAACAGCCATTTTGAATGTGAATTAGCATTTTGTACAAATATTTTTGGCAATTCATTGACAAATATAGTTATCTTTTGAATGGGTGAATAGGTTCATGAGTTATAATTTGTTCCTATTTCTAATATAAATGGTGGGATACTCAAGTTTCTGAGCAAGAAGTGAAACATAAACATTTCAAAATCATTTCATTCTTTCTAATGAAGAGCTCTTAAACAATTTTTAGCATTTGGGAATGTGAATTCTTTATTAAACAGTTCCAAATTTGGCATCTTTTCAATATTCTGGTTGTTTTAAGATCAGTTTCTATAGAAAACTTTTAATTTGGAAATCTAAGAATTTTTCGATGATATTTTTAAAAAATATTATAACATTGATCAATTTCATTAAAATAACGCTAATACATTGAAATTGCATTCAAGAAATAATATTAAAATTAAAAATTTTTATTTTTCGCTATCATATAAAGTGACATTACTTTCGATTTTGGCGACTTATAATGCATTATTTTGAATCTGAAAAATAAACAAGGTAATAAATGCTTTTCACTTTAACACAAATTATGGAACAATTCTTAGCAAAAGTAAAATAACCATGTAATTAATTAAAACTGCCTTCGTTGTAATTTTTTCATGGTGAGAGTGTTTCCCATGTAGTTGTCTCAATATGCATCAGTTTTCTCTATAAAATTAATTTTATACTTTTTCCTCTGTGTGTGTGTGTTTATATATATATATATATATACATATATATATATTTTAGCCTTTTTGCTGTTGCAGAATTGGTAGGGGTAATTTTTCTTTAGGATATTAGAAACTGCAATTTGCAAAGTTTAGAAGGATTTTAAGGCAGGATTTACAGATCCACAAATCTAGAATATTCCAGACAAATGTCTTCATGGTATTAACAAGTAAATGGATGTATTTTACAGAAAGTTCGTGAGAAACATTTTGAAGAATTTTCTGAAAAACAATGAAACCATAATATTTAAATGTTTTACTTCTGAAACAAAGTCTTAATATGTTTCTCTTTCCATTGTTTTCTCTATTTTTTTACCAGGCACAAGCATGGAAAATATCAAAATGCTTCATATCTTATCACATAGAATGGCATTTATAGAAAGGAGTTTTTCTATTAGTAAAGAAATTGAACACTGGCAATTTAAAAGATTAATTTTATGCGTCTCAATGTGTCATCAGCGGCGTAGCTAGGGTGGGGCAAGGGGCATCTGTCCCAGAGTGCAGCATCCATGGGATGCCAAATTGATGTTACAAAATTTTAAAATTAAATGTTTTTTATTTTTGGCATACAGGAGGGGTGCAAAATCTTATGGGCAGCCACTGATTGAGTCACCTTGTTGCCACTGGTTGCTTCAACAAGTGGCGTGAAGCATATCCTATTCCTGATGAAGAGGCTGCCACGGTAGCAGAGGTAATGAATATGGCATTGGATTTCTAGATTCAGAGTGCCTCTTCAGTTACATTCCGATCAAAAAAGAAATTTTACCTTGGCTGCAAAGATTTCTGTAAGCTACTCAGCATCGACGAAACCTAAATGACACTTTTACATCCCTAGGCAGACAGCATGGTAAAGAAGTTTAATCTAACCATCCTTAATAACCTCTCACTGGTGGTTTCCAGATACTAAAAAAACTGGGACAAGAAGTTATGTTTGTTCTTACAGGCCTAGCACAGTACTGTCCACGAGACCTCCAGTTCTCCATTCCATATGCTCTTCCTTCATCTACCGTGTGATCTTTTGCTTGGTCACCCTCTTGATGTGCCTTCGTGACTTGAGGAGTACATCTCTCCAAGCATGTTTGAAATGATAGACAGTTTTGCACGAGAGAGAATCAACTTATCGATGGAGAAGATGAAGATCTGATACGACAAGAGAGCTACAGGACATTGATTCAATAAATGAGACAACATGTACTTGTGGAAGACGATTTGACAGAAAGGACACTCGTGTAAACTACCATGTTATGGTCCTTACACTGTCCTAAACAGGCTGAAAGATGTCATTGCTTGGATCCATAAGTTACCAGAGTCATTCATTATGACAGGCCCTTTACTTTGGCCATAGTACCTAGTTTATATAATGTAAATAGTAAAATACCATGGTCCTATTTTGTAAGTTTCTTCATTATGACAGGCTAACAGCTTACTATAGCCATAGTACATCGTCCTCATTGTGTATGTAATTAATGTAAATACTATACTAAGACATTGGTCATATTTCTTTGTAAATTTGTGCACTCATTTATTCGCCTTGATTTTTTTATGTTATCTACCAAAATAGTTAATTGAAATTTATTGCATTGCTGTTCCTTACTTGTATAAGTATAGTTTTCTGTCTAGGGAGTATACTGCCCAGAACATGTAGTCCTTTGGGGCAGTGCTACAAATTTTGTACGTAGATGATTCCAGTACAATTATATATGAAACTTTTGTATTTTCTTCATAATGTAACAGAAAAATCTAGACCGAGGGTGCTCTGCCAGAAAAAAAAGTATACAGGGGCACAGGTCTATTTAATATTGAGTAAATGGATGTCTTGCTAATGTGGCGAGATATCACCAAGCTGACGATGGCTTTGGTGACAAATTTTACAAAAGTCACCAAATTTGGCAAAGTTTTGGTCTGGTCCTTGTATTATCATAGTAGGTATTGTAGTTGAATTACTGTAGTTGATTTCATATGTAACTGTAAGCATAATTTGGCCCTCGTATACCTTCCAATAGTTTCAAGTAGCAGAAATTACTAGAAATATCTTGGCAGAGAGAATATCTGTCCTTGTTGTTGAGAGTTGTTAATTCAGAGCAGCTTTGGAATATTAAAAGCTTTGCCTTTTAGATGTGCTTTGCATTGCATTGTGCTTAAAGTTTTTAGCAGTTCGAAGTGTAACTACTGATTGTACTGTGTGATAACCGTGAATACCTGTACGAGTATTTCTGTGGAAAGTTGCAGAACACTGAGGTATTTCTTTTGATACAGACCTGTGTGCATGCAGCCTGTTATGAACCCATACGCACGTGACTCAGCATTAATATTTTCAACTATCTGCCTTAAGTTTATAAGTCTTACTTAGCAATAACAAGCTTTCCAAAATCCAATAACTTGAGTATAGACTGTGACTCAACTGCCTATAGTTTCTTACAACTGACGTGGTGCATAAAGGCTATGTTGGAATAGATCAGGAGACTAAATAGCATTGTTTGAGGATTAAATGTATTTTGTTATCTATCAATCCTTTGCTTCACATTTTGTGCAAAATTTTCTGTAGAACGAGGTGTATGGTTAGAGATTTTTTTTTTTTTTTTTCCTCCATACGAATTTGTGCTGGATCTGTACAGTTGATTTTATTTATAAAGTTTTGTTGAAGTATTACACAGATTACTGAATAGGTTAAATGAAGTGGCATTAGTATGTCTCATATATGAGGTAACACAGCCTTTTTCCTGCCCTTTTAAATTCTAATTTTTGTAATGAAAAATAAAATAAATTTAGTCCCGAATTTGTGAAAAGAAAGTTTACAATTTTGAATTTTTGAGGGAGATTTAAGACAAAAATGGGCGCTAATACTAATATAGAAAAATATCTTTTAAAAAATTTAGTGTCCATTGAATCTGAGATAACCCATTTAAAAGTATATTAAGAAAGGTTGTTCTAAAAGTAATTGTCAGAAAAGAGTCCGTTATCTTTTTGTAAAGACTTTATTTGAAAGAGTTGGGCACCTTACAGAGATTAATTAATTATATAACTGTTAGTGTGCCCTCTAAGCACGTGCATTGGAATTATAAAGGTAAATGGTTCCAAAATAAATAGATATGAATGATAATAAAAATGTGTATTTTTTGTTTGTTTCTGCAATTGATTGCAGATATTTAATTGTTTAATAAATATAATTATTTTGCAGCTCTCCTGTTATCATAAAGTATTTCATACATTAAATATCGGGTCACTTTTCAAATTGTTGCCAGCAAATATTATCACCCTGTGTTATATTTAAAGAAATTAAATAATAAAGAATCTGCATAAATGTATGTATGTTTCTTGCATTGTGATAAAACAATGGTACATAGAGCCATCAAATTTTGAATAACGTAATCTTCCACAAAATATTGACATCTGGAAGCCCTAATTTGGAATTTGTTTTATTATCTATTTCATATTTTGTAAAACTTTAACAAATTTGTTATTAACAAACTCAACGATTTCAAAGCGAGCAATGGCAACACTCTACGAGGAATAAAAAACATAGTGCACAAGACTGTGTATCAGAAATTCTAAAGATATGCTCATTTTAAAATTATTTTGCAATATTGCTGTTGAACTGAATTTTATGGTTTCAGTGCAAAGAACTTGATATTTAATAAATAAAGCTAACACACAAAACAAAAAAAAAAAAGGTCCCTTTAGGCGTAATGTAAAATCTGAAAGCTTTCAGATCCCCCCCCCCATCTTTTTCTTTCGAAGACATTACAGTTACAGTAGACACCATGGTTAATGTTATCATTCGGATATCCCCTCCCCCCTTTTTTTTGTCTTCTTGCAGTGGTTTTTTGCTCTTAATCATTACATCACTTTCTGTTTTGGGTTTTATTTATAATTTTCTGCTCATGTTTTAAAATTATATTTGAAAAAAAAAATCATTATTTATATCTTAAATGATCTGTTTTTAATAGATCTTAAAATTTTATTGAAGGTTACTAGATTATTTATTTATTTTTTAATTTACAGGTTATCAATTGGGAAACAACTCTGCGGATACCCAAAAAAGCAAATATTGCTGATGAGGCTGCAGATTTAATACTCAAACTCTGTTGTATAGCTGATGCAAGACTTGGACGAAATGGAGTGGATGAAATTAAGCACCATCCCTTCTTTTCAGACATAGATTTCAATAGTGATCTCAGAAAACAACCAGCTCCATATGTTCCCAAAATTCGTTATCCTACAGACACTTCAAACTTTGATCCCATTGATTCAGATAAACTTCGCAGCAGTAATTCAGAATCTAGTGATGAAGGCAATATGGATGATGCTAGTGATAGTAATAAGCATCCCGAACATGCATTTTTGGAATTCACTTTTCGGAGATTTTTTGATGATGGTGGGCAAGTTTACCCAGCAAGAGCACCTCTCGAAGAAACAACAGAAAAACAAAGTTCTCCAGTATATGTTTGAAGATTGAGTTTCTAGTTTTGTAATATGTTTTCTACTGTTGATTTTACATTTTGAAAATGATAAAAAAAATATAGTGACTTTTGTTTAGGCGGCATGCTAGTTACAAAATGTAAATATGCTAGAAGACTTAACTTTTTGCCAGTAACTATATGTATCATTAGAGGGGGATTAATTTTATGACAAAACTGAGGCTTGGTAAGATCGCCTTTGGCCTGAAACCATTACCTTCTTTGTTTTTAGTTCTTACTGAATTCTGTTGGGTACATTTTGTGAACTTTTTATGTTAAAAAATTCTCCTGTATATATAAAAATTATTTATTTTATTGTTGATATGATGAAAATTTAAAAATAGGTATTTGTTAGCACAAAGATTGTATGTGAATATCTTAATTTTTTTTTTTTAATTATCAGAATTTAGAAGAATGTTAAAATTGGTAATTTCTAACTTTGATAATTGCAAATTAATCATTGCATTAATAGTAAATGCCCAGTTTTGTTGTTTTAAGGGAGTTTGGCATAACTTAGCTTTTAATCCATAAATTGTCCATTTTATTAAAAGATACTAATAGTGCAAAATTTACCTGCATGTATACATGTTAAGAAATTTTTCACAAACATAAATTTTAATGTATTAAGCTTTCAGTTTAATTATTTTAAATTGTTATAGTATATGAGAAGATTAGTATACTTTGAATAGGAAAAAATTTCCTGTAATAAGCTAAATTTGCCTTTTTGGTTTTATAATTTATAATATCTGATTTAAATAATTTTTTAAAAAAGCAGAAAGTGATGTAAGTTATTAGTATTAATATACTTTTATAAATTATAATGCACTTAATATTATACATAGTTTGCTTGCTATTATTTTAAAAATTATTTGTTATAATTAAATTCACATTAGTTTTTCATAGTTTAAAGGAAAGCAAATGTATATGTAAATGCAGTTACCATAGTACTGTTTTTATATTTTGAACTCTAAACTGAGGTTGATGTTAAAATTGAACATAATTCTTCAACTTTTGTTTTAGCACATTTGTTGTATCAAGGTCTGTTATTTGTCTGTATATATTTAAAATACATATACTAAAATTTATGTTTGTGTAATTTGAATTCTTATAAACTGTGCCTTATAAATACATACATATGCAGCTTATAAGAATATACATAAAATTATTTTTTAAGCTGGGGGTTTATTGCAGTCCATAGATAAAAATGAGAAATTCTTGAAAATATGTGAAGCAAAAGTGTGTTCAAAACTCAAATATCTAAAATAGTTTTGAATTTTTTAATTATAATATACTGACCTATTCTAAAAGATATTGGTTTCATACATATATATATATATATGTTGCTGGCAAAGTATGAAATGCCGACATTCTATAGAATGCTAGGCATTGTATATAATGTCCGTACGATTTTAGGCAAAGTATGAAATAAGAGAATTATTACGTACTTTACTTAGGCATTCTGTAGAATGACAAATGCTCTTTAGGCAAAGTATGAAAGAAAAAGGTTGTGATAAGCCTATTATTTAAGATGTTCATTCCTCTAAAATACAAATATTATTTTGAAAAATTAATGAAAGAGTGCCAATAAAAAACTTTTCTTCAAAATATGTAAAAAAAAATAGTGAGATGATCTTGATACAGCGTAATAAATTTATGTTTTTTATCTGGCTGAGACTAGGATTCGCAAGATCTAACCGTCAACAAAAGCCAAATTCAGAAACTATCCTAAGTTTCACATCAGTGCCCTTTTTAATACCTTTTTTGTTTTCTCTGGCAGGGCTCACAAAGGTGGTTGTTACAGTTCAATATCAATGCGTGTAACATTTTTGTATTTGTTTGAAAGTTCTTTCGACATTCTGTCACGTTGCATTCTGCCCTATGCAGTACTCAAATGAGTGTTCATGAAATACGGAAAATAACTCGGCGTCTATGATGTAATACTGTATAGTAGTAATGCTTTCTTTAACAGGCTAAATGAAAGCACTTTTGTGTTCTACAAACCATGGCTGTGGAGTCGGTAGAGAAAATAACCGCCTCCGACTCCTGGAATTTTAAAGACTCCGACTCCCTCATATATATAAATGTAAACATACACACATGGGTTGCAGTTTATTGTTTTAATATAAAGAAGTAATAGATACTGCAGAAAAAAAAAAGATGGCATAGCAAATTATTTATATTAATTAGCATTTATTATGAAATGGAAAAACTGGCATTAGTTATTTCTAAGAAACAGTATAGCTTCAGCAAGATCTTCTTTGTTGGAGGGCCATAGATCCGATTTGAAAAAATTCAGAACTTAATAGTCTTTCCACACTAACTTGAATAGGAGGAAGAGCTGTTACTGTGAGAGCTACTTCTTTTAAATTTACAGGATAGAGTTTTATAAGTTCTAAAAGAGGTGTCTTTGCAAGCACAATCATATTTCTCTATTTCTTCAAAGGCCACGTAGCAACCTTGTTTGTATTTTTTTATTTTTATATCTAAAGGCTCTTGGTTCTTTATTTTCATTCACTTTTCCTTAGCCTTTTCAATATTCAAAAATATTTCTCAAAATCTAATTCATCACTGGAAGAGGAATATAGAGACTCAATTGCAATGTCTGCGGTTTGACCGTCCTAATTCGAATTCTCCAATTTCTCTGAGAATAATTTCATTCTTAATGAAAGTTCATAGATGACTTTCTTTGCCTTTTTAATTTGTTCGTCATCCAAGAAAATTCAGTGTTTTGGATCTCAATATATTGAACACAGCAAAATCTCATTGTCTAACAAACTAGTTTCTCTTTTCTTCATTGAAGAAATGATTCCTTCTGCAATGAACTCTCCATTTAAAAAATTAAAAAAAAAAAAAAAAAAAAAAAAAAAGAAAAACCATTCTTGCCTCCTGCCAATTCTTCAGATTGCAGCTTTTTTGTGGTTATATACGGGATAGAAAGAAGGGTTTCCAATTCTATAAGATTATTCCACAGTCTTTCTGTTAGTGAAACATTAGGGTTATCTACATCTTCTAAAAAAGTTCTTAATTCTAAAAAACCTCTTTATCATCAAATATGTACTTCCTTATCGCGTTGCTTGATCAATAATTGCTCCTTCTCATGCTCACTTCCTAAGAATGGAAAGAAGAAAGGATGGAAGTTCCAAGAAGAGAAGTTCTTGCTGCTATTGCTGCTTACCTAAATTTAACAGTGAGATTTGTAACTAAATGAATCAGTTTAATCACTAGTGGCAAATATCACATCCATCCTCCTCCCTTATATTTCTTTATTAATATGTTAATAAAATAGAAAATAGCTATTTATTAATGTATATAGTCCATAAATAAAAATAATAACTCAGCTTGTCATTATTTTTTTCAATTCATTTTAATTTCAAATTCAAACTTCCCAACAAAACCTGGAGTCAGAGTCGACCTGTTTTTAGCGACTTCAGCTCCAACTCCTTTTGCCCCAAAATCTGCCCGACTCCGACTCCACAGCCCTGTTACAAGCATCTCATCATAGGTAGTTTCAGTTCTTCGAAACGAATTGGAAATGTATTTCATACTTTGCAGTTTGTCATTTGGCATTCTATAGAATGCCTAGGAAATGTGGTAAATATGAATCGTTTCATACATTGCAATTAGTTTTAGGCATTATATACAATGCCTAGGCATTCTATAGAATGCCGAATTTCATACTTTGCCAGTAACACATACATAAGAACATTTGGGCATGCATTGCTTTAAATAATTGTGCTTGATTGTTTCTTATTTTAGAGCAGATATTTATGTCGGTTTTATACTTTAAATTTTACATATAGATCGGAGAATATGCGTTTCTAATGTATAATTTTTATGAATGGTGAGTGTTTGCTATATTCTATCAGGTATACTGTTATTCTTCACTGAATCCTCAATTCAGTATATAGTGGTTTTGTTTTAGTTACAATTACTGTGTTTACAAAGGAGGTTTCAATGGTTTACGTCTGATGCGATTTTACCACATAATAGTTTAATCACATTTCACAAGATTGTATACAATATTTTAAAATACCTTTTGATGTATGTATTTTAATAAACTGTAACCTTTTGTCTAAAAGCTTGAGGCTTAAGAAGTCTTTACATGTGTTTGTTAATCAATATAGTGTGAATATTCAGATATGGATCATAAATTTATCTAGTCACTGAATACATTTCAGTTGATATTTGTGTAATTTTGAGGCTGGAATATGGAACACCATGACCTATACTTAACTTTTAATAATAAAATAGACATTGTGATCATAGTGCCTTAAGACATGAAATCAACCGAATCATCCACTTTTTTATAATTCACTGTTTATTGTAAAGCTATATACAAAAAGTTAGGTAATTTAAACTGTGATATACATATACTTTTTCTTAAATTCAACAGTTTGCATATCGAATATTGAACTGTGAACAATAGCAAAGTTTTCTGTGTGATTTTCCAAAAATATCTTGAATGTTATATGCCATTAATGTATATTATCAGCACTAATGCATAATTTGTTCCTTTTTCTGCCTTCCAGTCTTGAATAATGCATATTATCTTTTTTATGGATGGTAACATGAGTGCATAATTATATTTACCTAATATTAGAAGATGTGTCTTAGGCTTTAAAGCTATTTAACATAAATGTAATGTAAAGAACATTGTATTAATAACTGCTTATAGAGGAAGAAGTGCTTTTTAAAAATATGTATTTAATAAATCAAAAGAGGATTAAACTTCATTTATAATCCATTCCTAATAATGCTTGGTAAATATTTGGTAACTGTACAATAGGCTGTGAAATAGTCATCCTAAAAATTTCAGATGTGTCGAAATTTTCTGTGTATTTGTAAATTTATAATATTAAATTAAAGAATGATTTTAAGGTACAGAAAGAAATTGGGATTGAATATACATAGGTTTTTCTCTCATTTTTAATAAATGTGATTGCATGTAAAGAAAACTTTTTACAGCTTTATCTCTTACTGCTTTTGTGTGAAACAGTGTAATGTAATGTATGATTGCATATTCTTAATGTATTTTTTAATGATAAAAATTCTGAACCTTAACAGCATTGTATGGTAATATGTAATTAATAATCTTAATATTATTAGAAAGCATATACTTTTGTTATATGTAAAACTGGTTCATTGAAAAGTATTAGAGAAAATTAATCTATGGAAGCAAAATTCTGATCAAAAAGTTTTAATGAATATTGTGTTATCCAGGCTATATGACATAAGGCCATATGAATATGACTAAATTGTTATTATGGGTTTGAATTGATTCTGTACATTAGGCAAACATTTGACTTTTAATAACTACCTGTTCTAGTACTTGTTTAACCCTTTGTGGTCGGATTAAATTTGGAGATGGGTATCGTACTGGTCGGAATTAATTTCTGTCGATAGAGCAGGGATACATTACATGCAAGTTTACAATGGATAAACAAGATTTAGTAATTATTTTGTGAACTGTTATATACATCTTTTTTCAATACACTCATCTAGTGATATGTTTTTGTATAAAATTTGTTTTATAATTCTCCTGTCGTGTGATATTTTTCAAAACACTCTCTGAACATGCAGGCCAGGTTTTCGAGTGCATTTATTGCAAAAATAATTGGTTTGGTGCCTTTCCATCCTTAATCTTTCTGTTTGAACATACACTACAATCTTTACTTTTTACATTTTCACAATGCTACGATATATATGCAGTTTTCCATTAAATCTTTCTTCCTTGCCGGATGGACGATGGTCGTGGTTTTGAATCTGCTCCGTCACGAAAACCACCTACCAGCTGTGCCACCAATTTTCGGACGAACGTAAAATGTGGCATAGGTGGTGTCCTGTTCTCTCTTCTAGCTGACACCTTATATAAAATGCAAATATTTATTGCACAAACCTCTAATCTGGAATATTTTAAGAAGAGAGAATGTCCAATTACTGTTAAGTACAATTTATAAAATATTCTTTAGGAATTCTACATGGTATCGTTCGGAACGTCGTTGATTTCATTATGTTCAAAAGACCACTGACTTGCCACTGCGTCTTGCATGGCGAGCGCTGGGTCACAACTTTCGTTTAGATTAGATTACGTTATCTCCAATCAATGGAGCACCGTATTGGTTCGTGAATAGGTTCTTTAGGCATTGAGGTTGGTATAGGAAAAGTGTAAACTTATACATGAATGCATACAGTATATGATTCGTATAGTTCCTTGCTGTGGTGGCTGAGAGCAGACATATGACTGGAACAGTAAAAAGGCTTTAGTGGCTGAGAGCAGACATACAATCGGAACGGTAAAAAGGATGTGGTGGCTGAGAGTGGACATACGACCACAAAGGGTTAAATGTTTGCAGTTTTTAAAGATTATAAAAATGAACAATAATGTTGTCTCTTACAGAGTGACATCAGTCAGGTTAATATGTTCATCTAGCCTATTCTGTATTTAAGCTTTGAATACATATTTTTAATGGAAATTTGAATTAGCAACACTGATAGGAAAAAAAAATTTGCACCTTTTTTTTCCCTATTTAAATTTAAACTAGATAATATCAGGAAGAATTGAGGGTTGAAGTAATTCAACACAAAATTCTGAAAAAAGGTATTTAAAAAAAAAAAAAAAACTATACTGTAATCATGTCAGATAATTTCTAACTTTTTATAATGTGCATACTTCTCTCAAGGGATCATGAATTGTTTCATCTTTTAAATATCAGAAAGTTGTTGGAACTTATCTCACTTGTCTGACAATAAGTAACAAGAGATCGAGTCTGTGAATTTTATCTTGCCCGTGAATTAAAAATATTGTACTATATAAAGAAATTACTATATTAAAAATATTGTACTGTATAAAGAAATTATAGAATGTTCAAAATTTGTACCAGAAAAAATTTTTGATTATCATTAACTAATATATGTGCATTTGGTACTGTAGTCAAAACTTCATTTATTATTCAGATTTCTAAATTGATGTACACTTGAAATTTTATTATAAGGTCTAATTAGCAATTGGTAACATTTTAGTGCAGAGTGGTCTGGTTCAGTAGATTGTAACAATAAATTAATCTTGTCTATGCCTGAAACTGAAATTTGGATTTGCAGAGAATCTCCCATTATATTTGAATATAGCAAAG